AGACTTTATGAAGTAGATTTCAAATTGAATGTTGTTTATCTTTTTGTGTTCTTTTTAGTCATACCTACTAACTTCTACTACTCTATGTAAAAATATCGAAATAAAATACGTCACGTGTTTTTGTATTATTATTCGCTTATAGCAAACTCCGAATATAACGAACCAGTTTTAGTTCATTTTTCAAGTTCGTTATATCCGGACTCAACTGTATTTAGTAAATAGAGACATTTAAAAAAAGTGACTTGGTTTACCTGATAAATAGTCTGCCATGCTAATGGCTAAAGTAATGTACAACTGTAAGCCAACACCTTCATTAGAAATTAAAGCGGCTTTGAAATTTGCTTTGGCTTATTCATAATGTCTCTAGAAAGGGGAAAAGCTACATCCTTGGATGTTCTAATTTCAAAAAATAGTGCCCTCCGAATGCAGACCACTGAAAGTCTGATCTTTATACCTTATTTCTTAATATATATATTATTTTTTACAGACAACAACCCCTTGAACAACTTTTTGAAAACATTGACTCTCAGAGGCAAGGAGTTCAGCTACTATGACGTAGCAGCCTTAGGGGAAAAGTACAGTAAGTATTGTCATCAGTGAAAACCCTCATAATGGTTTTTCTGTCACGTTTTAGATCGCCTTCCCTATTCTATTCGAATCCTACTGGAGTCTGCACTGAGAAATTGCGACAATTTCTCTATAAAAGAGCAAGATGTACAAAAAATTCTCAACTGGGAATCGAACCACACGGTGGAAGGAGGCATTGAAGTGCCATTCAAGCCAGCCAGAGTGATTTTACAGGACTTTACTGGCGTGCCTGCTCTAGTGGACTTTGCAGCCATGAGGGACGCAGTTAAAAACCTGGGTGGGGACCCGGAAAAAATCAACCCGATTTGTCCTGTCGACTTGGTCATCGATCACTCCATTCAAGTGGACTTTGCCAGATCGTAAGCACTACAAATCTCTTAAAGTGGGTTTACACGCTCAAGCCATCTGCACAAGCCAAACTTGAGCAAATGAATGAAATTGTAATTAAGTTAGTTAAAGACCACACGTTTCTAATTTAGTACATTTTTTCGACAGTGAGGACGCACTGCAAAAGAACCAGAACTTGGAGTTCGAAAGAAACATGGAAAGATTCTTGTTTCTGAAGGTATTGACTAGCAATTCCCAATTGATTTTTGTTAATTTTGGGATTTTTCTAGTGGGGAGCCAAAGCCTTTGACAACATGCTTATAGTGCCTCCCGGAAGCGGCATTGTTCATCAAGTGAACCTGGAGTATTTGGCCCGAGTGGTTTTTACTGGAAAAAACACGCCAGTGCTCTATCCTGACACTGTGGTATGAATCTCACGTTTATTTATGTACATTAAAACCGGGTTCAAGGCGCGCAGTCTAAAGCCGGCGCTACACGGTGCTACGAACACCTTCCAACGTTGGAGGCTTGACGGATCATCGCATCGTGTGGCCGACTTTCGAACTTTGAGCTACGAATGTCGAGCTTCCAACGCGAACGTTGGAACATCTTCCGGCCTTTGTCGGTATTTTCGACCGAGTCAATGCTGGGCTACACGATGCTACGAACACCCTCCAACGTTGGGGGCTTGACGGTTCATCGGCCTAGAGCTCCAATGTCGAGCCTCTAAAACCGACGCTACACGATGCGTCGAACATTCGTTCCAACGTTGGACCGAACATTTGAGTCAAAAAGTTCGACAGTTCGTGCGGCAAATGTATCTGCTACACG